GGGCAGGGCGCTGCAGGGCGGGAGCGGCGGCGGAGGCCAATCAACAAAGACGACCCGGGCGTTAGTGAGAATACAGCTGTTTTAATAAATCAAAGAGCAGCTCAGGATGTTTCCCGTTTATTATACATGGTTGCACAATCTGAGGCTGGTTAAATACAATCAAGTTTTCAAAATCTCTTGGAATCATTTCCAGATTACAACATGCAAGTGACCATGAAAATATTTGGCTTTTTAATTAATTCTTTAAATTTCTGAACAGGCACTTACATGAGGGAGTTAAATTTGCTCTCATTCAAAGATATCCGCGGTAGAAGTATCCTAGCATAAAGTACACAGAGTCTTTGTCTGCTTTATCAAAGTGCCACAGTAATAAAACAGTTCTTACAGAAATGTAATTCGATTATTTACTTACTCATAAAGTAAGGTTACCAATGACACTTGCACTGGAGTTGAGCAGTCTTGGTTTAAAGGCCAAGTGAACTACAAGCGCAAGTAGCCTTCCACACAGCAGGCTTTGCTTTATGCCCAAGCCACACGTCTGATAACAGACTACATGGTCAGTTGTGACTAGATGAAAGCTAACTCCTTTAAGCTATTTCTTCAAACACTTAAATGCATGAGATGATTAAGACAAATGATCTGCTGTGCCAGACAAGCTTCTAACAGTTCTAAGGCTCGCCTGGCTTCAAGATACTTTTCCGTAATACCACAAAAAGCTTGTTTGCCCTCATAACAGGCCCAGATGGACTTTGAGGACGTTTTGCCTCTCCTGTCAGGACAGCAAGGAGACAGACTGTGAAGACAGTGGAAGCACAGAGCCAGGAGGAACCACCCAGTTTCATGTATTTGTGAAATAATGTTACCAGCATTTATTTAATCGATATGAGATAATTACGTTAAAATACTTTACCCGCTCGTCACCTGAAGGTGAAATCATGACAACATCGCTATAGTCACCAGTTAACTGGGCAACGAACCCCCAAACACCAGGAGTGACTCACATAAAAAGCTTAGAGATGTATGATAGGGAGAGAACTGGGGGAGGGAAGGCAAAGATGTTTCCTAACATTCTTTGCTACTGACAGATTCAAAACTTCTTAGCAACCTTGGTAAGGTGTCTGAAGGCTCCACAGTTATCATAGGCATAGTGCATATACATGCAGTTTCAGTTAAACCCTGTCTAACACAGTAATTAGAAGTCTTAGGACAAATTCACCATGAACTTCAATTTTTAGTGTGATTTAGTCAATTGTGTCTTACTGTAGTTTCAGAACAAAACAAATGCAAATAAGCAACATTGGAAAGAAACATGCAATAAACAACATGAGAGAAGGGAAATGCTTTAGTCTACACTGTATAGGTGGTCAGCAAAAAAATCAAATATACCAGCCTACCATGCATGGAAATAACTAGATTTAAGCTTATGCATAGCCAAGTGCATATAACATTATCAAATAAAAGTAAATGTGCAGTATAAAATAGTAGCTTAAGAAAGTTCCAGTGTTTGAGAAAGCACTTTATTTTAAATGTATATACATACTTGAATGTTTAACTGAAGAACGCTTTAGTAGTATGGTAAATGCAGCACTGCAAGATGAAGGAAGACAGTTGTAATGGGAATTTTGGCCTTCTTTTCCCACAGGCTGCTGCCATCTTTAACCTGCTGAAGCATCGCAAAGTTTTTCATGTTATACCAGTTCACATTTCAGGTTGCTCAGCAGATGCTTGTGATTCTGGAGATTCAAATCGCTGGTGAAAGTTTGTTCGTTGTTTCCTCAGCTTCTCAGGAGCTTTTCTCCATAAAATTATTTCCTGTTTGAGGAAGCAAACACTTTTGAAACCACCATTAAGTCAGCAGTGTCAAGTACCTTAAATTTCTGACAACCAAAGACTTTGGAAAACAAACAACCACCACACACAAAACCCCCCCACACTCCACAAAAAACTCTGCATCCCCATTACTTATAGAACAGTGCAGTACGTATGGAAAGTAACAGAAAGTTGACACAATTAACTTTACATATTTAGTTACTGCCTGAACACTTTCATCAATCTTGAGCAGTCTCCTCTTCCTTAACAATCCTACTTGCAACTTTAAGAGTATTAAAGGGTTCAAGAAGTTTTCTTCCTCCTTCTCTCAAAATCCAAAGCCCATCATAGCTACGGTATGCTCCAGTTATCTTTTGTTTTCCATGTTTAATTATACTGCTTTGTCTATTCTTTAAAAGATTCTGATCTAAGCCACGTGCCTTCAATTGCAGTGACCCTTTCCACTATTCCTTTCCTCAGCGTGACCACAACTTTTGTTAGGTTTTGCAATTTTGAACCTGGGCTAACACTTGGAGGGAGCTCTATGTGCAGCAGTTTTAGAAAGCAAGCAAACAAACGCACCTGTAGCTCATTTTACTCACAAATTATTTTGTCTGAATATTCACAATGCAAGGTTGTTCTATGGCACTGAGCATCCTGTCCTTGCTGAAATAGTATCCATCATCCCCCTGGCTCCTTTTTGCAAGCTAACATTTTCTATACAGCTTCCAATACACTCACCAGCAGAAATGCTTATGCCATACAAGAAGCACAGGTGGCTTCAATGTGCTGAACATTCAAAGCAGCACGTACAACAGCCCAGATAACTCTGCAACAAGATTCCGACAGACCATACCTGCTGTTTGAAGTATCGTCTGTCTTCTTCATCCACAAGCACTAGATTTAAGAAGTACCTCACTGAAAATTTTTTGTTCACATCCCTCATTGTTGGAGTTGGGTCATAGCCTGCTAAGAACAGTCTTATAGGAATCGATTCACCTTAAAAAAAAATTTTCAATTAGTTCCTTAAAATGGGATGTCATTAATGCAGCTTCAGAAGACACACAAAATAAAGGCAGTTTCCCAAGCACTGTCTGTGTCCCTTCCTTGGTTAAAGAAAAAAAAAACCAAACCACAAACCACCAAACAAGGAACACCAAAAAACATTACAAAAACATAACACTGAGGCAAGTGTGAAACCAAAAATGGGAACGCTTTCTCGGGGAAAATGTGGTAGCCAGGCAAGACAAAAGGATCAGTGTCTTGAACTCTTTAGAGCTGGTCTACACCCTGGAGCCAGGCTTGAACCAAAGTGCTAAAAGATCAGTCATAGAATTTCTAATGGTAAGTAAGGGTAAGAACTACTAGGATCCCAAGTGAAATGTCCTAAGTCAGTAAGAACATCTGCTTTGAAGAGGAAAACCCACTGTCATGAATAGTTTATATCCACTATCATGGAAAGTTTATACAAGTCATCTCTTCTCCACAATTATTTTAAATACAGCTTTAACTCAAAATGCTACCCTTTTAAACATCCACAGTTTTTACCTTTAACTGGTGCACCATCCATTATTTCATACTTTGCAATGGTTTCAGTCTCTGTTGTGGTACTGGGTCCTGGTGAAACAAGTTTTCACTGTGAGAACATGTGCTTCAGTTTTCAACACTTACAAAGCTTTATCACAGGAATTTCTACTCTGCAGCATTTAATTTACACAACACTGCATTTTTTTGCCTTTGTCTTGCATGTAAGTTACACAAAGCTAAAGCAAGCAAAACCCTCCCCCAGGCAGAGCATCTATTTCTTACTCTCTCCTCCCCACACAGACACAGGAGAGGCAGTTCCCTGGGTAGGCAGGCTTTAAATAAGGGACAAGCATGCAGGATTGGACTTGTCAAACAGTTCTGTTTGGTGGGCAGTGCTAGTGACAGACACTGCTAGGCCATGATCAGCCTAGAAAACTGAAGGGTTATCACCCAGCACAAGAGCCACATTTCTCTTTTTTACCTTTTTAACCACAAAAGCCAACAACAAAGCAGAGCTTTCTGCCCTTCCTCTACCGCTACAGAAGCACTCTCATTCTCCACACAAGCAGCTCACTAGGGCCCCAGACACTGGGGAATGAAGTCATGAGCCACAGCCTCTTACTGCCTTCCTAGCTCCAAGGTATACAAGCCTGATCTGCAATAACCAAGCTGTTTCTGCTTCAGAGCCTCTTGATATTTCCATCATATCAGTTTTAGGCCGACTGAAAATGACACATTTCTAGAACATGAGAGACTCACCCTGATCTTTACCAAACCCACTTTACCAGCTAATCTCTGTAGAGGCAAGAGAGCCTTCAGGATGCATTTTATACTTTTTCTCTTGTTTATTACCCATCAAGGCTGATTAAGCTGCTGCATATCTATGCCCAAGTTCCATTTACAATGGTTCCCATCTGTGAAGCTAGCCCAACAGTCAACAATCCCAGAACAATGCTACAGACTGACAGTGTTAACTACTAAGTAGGATTACCAAAGCGCAAAATGCAAATGGTAGTCAGACACCAGTGAGAAAGAAACACACGGAGCATTAGTTTAGCCAAAGTTACAACTATTGACTTCACTCTACAGGTTTGCATAAGGTTCAAAAAGCATACAAGTTGCCATTTCTTTTGGACTTTGTTTCTCTTACCAATTCCAGTAATCTCCTTTTTGATCAGCTGCAACTCCATGTGCTGAATCTTTATTCTCACTAAGAGGAAATAAATTTTTCCAACAATCACATCCTTTAAGTGATACCTTTAAAAGAACAGAATAAGGGCTGTCATTAAAAGACTAAATGTAACTTTTACACATTCCTGAATACAAGTTGTACAGGCAGTTACCTTATTTGCCTGTTAACTACTAGCACTTACCTCCCCACTGAGCTAAGCATCTCAGACCACTGCAATTAGTACCTTCCCATCATTGCAGTATTACTAAAGGAAGTATTATAGCTATATTGAAAAAGCATGAGTGCAGAAATCAAGTCTTAAATATTTGCTAGTGACCTTCCTATTAGGACTGAAATCAGAACAGACAAGTATTTCTCAAAAAAGGCCATTGTGCAATTAGTAAACAAACAGCTCAACACAACAGTAATTGAAAATGTCGCTTTACATTTTAAGTCTCCAGATGCCAAGACTGTTCATCAAATATTACAAAATCTACCCTTTTATCCCAAGATATTTCCCTGAATGTGTTTTGTTCTAAGGGACACTTACTTTGACTTATTGTATTCAAATTCTATATGAAGACAGTCTTCAATGCCTACTTCCATTTTAATGGAGTTGTTTACATCTGGGTATGTAGCAAGCTGGTGAACAATCAGATCATACTCTTTCACCAAGTCTGACAGTCGTCTCACTATTGTCACTTTTAGAAAATACCTAGGAAGAAAGTTAGCCACAATTAGTCAGAATTGCGTATGTAAAAGCCCTTATGTTCTGAGGTACAGCTATCCTTTGAAAGACAGGAGCACATTCTCATAAGACTAAGCAGAAAAGAATAAGACACCAAAATACAATCCAAAACACTTATAGAAAAGTGGGGGTGTTTTGTTTTTGTAGTTTTGTTTTGGTTGGTTGTTGTTTTGGGGGTATTTTTAAGAGACATGGACTGTCTTCACTTGATTCAACTGAAAATTTTATCTATACAAACAACACCGAGGGGTTCCAAATAAAGCAGAAAGGGCTACATTATAACACATTCTCAAAAATTCCAATCAAGACACACTATCTATTGGCTGTGACATGTCTGATCTGAAATTCAAAAGGAGGAAGGAAGGGGATGCATGTAGCATAATTGCTAAATGATTAATTTTCTGCAGGGGAGGAGAGAAGAGAAGGCTTAAATTTCAAACCTCAGTCTGACGTTGGCACCAATGTAGGATTCGTATGGCTTTTCAACCTGCATGAATTCAAAGTCATAGCTTCTGTGTTGGGTCAGTTCTCCGGGTAAGGCCAGTTCTTTCACTAAGTTTACAAATTCATGGGTATTGCTTTTGTCATTGAAGAGTTCTGAAGTTAAGGAAGTTAAAGGAAAATACGTTTCAGTGTTAATTTGGCAGGATCAGGTGGAAGAGGACAACAGAAGCAATTATTTTAAGTTACACATATTTGACCAAATGTTTTACCCAGTTTTTCAAAGTTATTTTCAGTTTCAGCAGCCTACAGTAAGCATTCCTAAAGAGCTAACTGCAATGAACAAAAGACAAATTTGAAGATTCACTAACACGGCATCTTTTTATAATGACAGGTTAGCTAGCTTTAATAAGTACTTATTGCCTTGCATCCTCTGTAATTAGCACCGCACAATTGTGGCTTCCAGAATTTATTGCTGAAGGGACAAAACCTAAGTAACATCAAGACTGGCTCATTTAGGCCAGTGATCCCAGCTGGTCTCCAACAGATTAACACCACCTATCAAAATGGTTTATTATTACTACTGGTCTACAATCAGATGGCTTAGTATGACCACTGCTCTAAGTTAGTCATTTGGACAGAAGTTCTCAATACATAGGCACAGACACACCAGTTTCACAGCAACAGCATCTCCTGTACCCAGATCAGTGTTGTTACTGTTCACCCCTAGATCTGTGTCATGCAGTTCTCACCAAGATAAAAACTTCAAAAGTTATAAAAAAAATTAACATTGCCATAAAAAAATCCAAATACTTTAGTATACAAAAGCAAGCTTCTCTACAATTCACAACTGAAAATATCAGCTAAGAACATCAATAGTAGATGGCTTTACAGACTGAAGCTTTTCAGAAAAGAATAAGCAAACTAAACACACCAACTCCACAGTTTATCATTGCCAGTTTGGTAGAAATGGACACTGATTATTGACTGCTTTTTTCCTAATATGTCTACAAATTATCTAAGGTGTACTTTGGTTGCCATGACAAGCATTTGCATAATATAAAGTTCATTTACTGTTGTATATCCAATACCTTTTGTGTCAGTCAGAAAAGCTATACTCTGAAGAGATGGTTTAAGATAAGGACTTGACATGCAACTGGAGCTAGTCTCCAAGTAGTGCAGAGACAGATCACACTACTAGGATGCTTTTTGTATTACTATAATTAAAACCTGAAAGGATGCATGAAAACACAGACAAATACAAAAAGCTGTAGCTTAAACCACTTCTGCGTAACTCTTGTGGAATTCTAAGTGGTAGCACAAAGGAAAGTCCCAGAAACACACGTAATTCCTGAAACATTACATCAAAGTAAGTCATTTAGAGAGTAACATTTATACATCAGAGTAGATGAAGAACAGCCTGTAAAGCTATTAGAAGACCACAGACTAAATGCAGCTGACGTTTGTGAGCTCTTTTTTTTCCCTGCCTCTAAATGCCTCATTCACATCACACTGCTGCTTCATTCTAAAAGCTTGCTTGTACAGCCCCGCTGATCAAATCCTCAAAGCATAAAGCAGCAGGTGTCAGAACTCAGTCATGTCTGCCACAGAACAGTTCAGACATGGGGTACTGGAACCTACTGATCAGAAACAGAATTTGTGAAATTCCAATCAAAGTCGATTGTATGAGGATGAAACTTGAAGAATTACTTCCAAGGGGTACAATAATGCAAAAGGCCCTCTAACAGAGAGGGAAGGAATTTTAGCATCAGCCTAAGGGTGCAGAGATATTACCTTGACTGGCAAGAAGTTAGACGTGATCAAGATTCTTCATAGTTCAAATCTAACCAGATTTAGATACAGTTATAAGAAAATAATATTTTTAATGTCAATACTATCTTATCTTGCTAAAAAGCACAGAGAACCTCCAAAGCATCAATGCTGCTTTACATTAACAATGTAAAACTAGGTTTTAGAAAACCAACCACCAAAGAATTTTTAGAAATATTTTGCTATAGGCTGCTCCATCATTTCTTTTCTGTGCCTCTTCCCTTTCAGAGACAGACTTAAAGAGCCCAAGTTTAGTTCTCAGAAATCTCTAGTAGTTCTTAATCAAACTTAACGAGTGAGACAGATAAAGTACCCACTATCCCAGTTCTCCCTCTTCCTCACAGGAAGCTTCCCTTCCAATGACTTTATGACTAGCACAAATTAGTACATCACTTGCATCAAAAAAAGGAAGATACAATCTTCCCTTGGCACTAACCCATTCAGGTTGCAATCTTCAGGCCAAACTGCTGACAGTCACGAGTGCCAAGTTCTATAAACCACATGCACCTAACATTCCCTTTATAGGTTAAACTCACCAATTTGTCCTACGAATTCAATTCTAATTCCTTGGTGCTCTAGTCTCTTCACATGCTGCTTAAAGGAGACGTTCACCTACCAAGGCAAAAAAACAACACACACCAGTTAAACTTTTTTCAACACTTTCATTCTAATATCTGATCTCAGAAAAACATATTACTACATGCCTATGAAAACTAAGACCTCTTCTCAACAGCACTACTTGAGCTTGAAGGGAAGCAAATCAAACAGCTGATTATGAAATTAAGCATTACCAAGGCAACACTAAAGCATTTAAGAAAAATCTAATCATCCATAAAACTGAATTTAATAACTAAGCTTGAAACTTTTGAGTCCCGAGATTAAGAATCCAAGCCAGATCTTAAGAAGAGTTCACATAAGACAGTCATGACCCTCTTGCCATCTTTGAAGGCAGAGAGCTTCAAAGGATCTTCTGACAGTCACATTTGGAAGTCGAAAAAAGAACTTCCATGAGATGCATTCCTTTCAAGTCAAGTGAACTTAAGTCCTTTCCTCAGCAGATAGCTAAGTACTGGTGTTAGAGACGTCAGTGAAAATTCACGAATAATGAGACCTACTATGATGTTCATTTCTGAATTTGATTCTCACAGACCTCACCTCACAAGAAAAGATTCCACAAGGTTACTTTCTATGGAAATATGCAAGTATTAAGCATATACGTTTTCTTATGAGGTAGTGATGACCAGAGGAATTCCTGTACCTTTAAATCCAGTACACTGTTAGTATCTGCAGAGGAACTAAACCACTTGAATAATCTTTGTGGTGAAAAGGATAAGAGAGATAGAGGGAAGTTGCCCAGTAAATTACTTGTCTTACAGACCTCCTCATCCCCCTGTGCTTGTGTTAGCCAAAACTCATCTGACACTTCTCAGGCATCACTGATACAAGTGAGTATCAGGCCAGTGAACATACTAAAGCTGGTTTCCCGAGTTTGAGGCCCATCTTGTGAGAGCTTCACAGCCCTGAAAGGATCTTTCTAGAGAACCAGGATCTTAGTGTGGAAAGATATCTTAAGAGCAGGGAGATGCCCAGTGACAACAGGTCCATCAAGATCAAAGTAGGTATTTAGAAGTCAATCTCAGAACCCAATACCTGGGTCAACTTTTTTTGACAAAAAGTAAATCATAACAGAAATACTCAAGTAAAACCAGAGCAATGGCAAGGAATTCCTAGGTGCAATACTGAAAGTAGAGAAATCCCTCTGGCAAGCTCAACTTTTTTTTTTTTCCCCCCTAGTGAGAACTCTTGTTGACTCAGCAGCCAGCTGAACTTCACATGTTGCTCCTCTGATGAAATTCCAGAAACCACTTCAGGGCATGAAACGCAAGGCTTTGCTTCAGGGTACGCAACACAAGTTGGCTGAGCCAACCAAAAATTACTGTTATGCATGTTGGGTTGTGGATTTTAGAGTTCAAGGGGAAAGGGAAGCAGAAGGATACAGATTGAAATAGTTTTCTCAGAAGTAACAATACGATTGCACAAAAAGTTTATTTATAAATACAAGGTGACTGGAAACAAACAGCTACTATCCAAAACATTCAGTTTTATCAGCTGCCTGAATGACTATGGTTAAAAAGGCCACACAGAGGAAAACACTTTCCTTTTTGAATAACAACACAAGTTGAAATTGCAGCTCTTTCTTACATAATTTTTTCCACTTACCTTCCTATATTTTGCATGCCAGAATCAGTATGGTAATTAAAAGTCACTTTAAAAAAAATATAATTTACCTTTCCCGACACAGATTCTCCATCATAGAAGAGAAAATGCTTTTCTACTTTACCATCTTCTGTTTTGATTTCTGCTGTTTTTCGTGTTTCAGCATCATTAAGAATAACATCAATCTCACAAACACGACCGAAAATGCCTCCAAGAAAACTCTGAAATAACAAGAATTAAATAAATTACTATACAGTGGACTCCATTTTAAATGTGATATTTACTTGCAGCTGTACACTATACATTGGGGAAAAACATTTGTGCTCCATGAAGTTAAAGCCGTTACGTATTAGACCCCCAAGAAATAGTGATGACAAGAGACAGTTGTTCATCTAGTAAATACCTGAAATCAGGTCAGTAACAAGCAGTGAGAGCTCCTACAAAATATAATGTTTATAAAAAAGTACACAGCTTAATTACCATTATTACTACAACACCAAAATACTAACAAAGATTTAAGACATTATAGTTGCAAACACAACTTTGATTTCTGTCACTGCAAAGCTTCCAATCACCGATTTCACTTTAAAAAAAATCATTTTTTAAACCACACTTCAAAAAAAAATCTTAACAAATTTATTCCGCCTGGTTTAGGATTTAAGATATTATGCCATAAACAATATGTGTTGCTTTATACCCACTATAACTTACTGCACAAAGAGCAGTAACAAGGATGATCAGAAATACAAGGACTAACAGAGGAAAGCAGGGTGAAAAGAAACGAGGGGTTTAATAGAAAGCCTAAAGCATCCCCCTGCTTGGTGAAGGGGAACAGGGACTTTTATTTGCTGCCTCTTCCTACGCCCCATAGTTCTCTTAGCAAACGAGGAGAGCACTAGCAGGTTCAAGAGGCAGCAGTTCTTCACACAATCAGCCTTAGCTACACAACGCTGCCATCAGATAGAGTGGATGTTACAAACCAACCCGTAATACTGCTCCAGGCACCAAGCCATTATAAGCATCAAACGTTTGTCCTCACCTTACAACAGCATTGCCTAGGCATGAACTTCTGACCAGTACCAAACACAAACAACTAGGAGGGATCATCCTTTGGCCTTACTCAAGTATTTCTTACAAGAAGCTGCAAAACATGTTAGCGGCTCTATGGGAAACTCAACAAGATTAGTACAAAAGCCAACATTTTCTCCCAAGAATTAGGCACTAATCTGCTTTGATGTACTAAAACAGACGACACTTCAGCAATTCAGGGTGACTTTTGGGCTTTTTGGAGAAATTACCCTAAATTCTCAACAAGAACATCCACCTCAACTAGAGGAATTTGTTAAACATGGTACAGTCATTCTCACTTCCCCAATATCAAAAATTCATTAAACACATTTCAAGACATTGTGTGGACCTGAAGTTTGAAATGTAGCATTAATAACAAAAAGTCTAGAAGAAAGTTTGATCTGAATGCTACTGCTTAACAGTAGGAACACTGAGTGACTTTTTGCTTACCCCTACAAGTCTGGGCTATAAAACAGCTATTCACACAAGACTAAACCAACTTTGTATTTGTTCAGCTAGCAAGCAGCCGTAGTTCAATCCACAAAGATGTATGTAACTAACTGAAACCTAGTGATATCTACTTCATGTTCTGAGAGGAAAGCAGAAGCAAACAACCAACACAGCAATCAAATATAGACTGAACTGTCTTCCAAGTGTCTGACAAGCACATCCTCACATTACCTGCTGAAATAACAATCTAAAAAAAAATTTTTTTAAATGACTGCACACTAGAATCATTCTTGATTTTTGGCTCCTGGGGATGGGTGAGAGAGAAAGAAAAAAGTTTAGCACATATTCTAAATCTTTATTTTACACTGTTACACAAGTTAGTTTTGAGTGTGACCATATTTTTTCCTTAGAAACTGGACTCACTTTCCAGATTAGTCTTATACTTTCCCCCCCCCAACTAAACAAGGAAGCACATTACCTTTAAGTAAACACACCAGATGCTCTCACAGTATCTTCCAAATTAAGAAGCTGTTACCATAACTTAAGTCAGCCAGATCTAACACTGGTAACACACCACTTCTCAAGACACTGCATGTGAATATTTCAACAGTAACCCATAGAGATTAGCCGTGATCTTACCCAGGGAGGACAAGAACATATGGAAAAAATAAATCAACAGCTGGTATCTCCTCCAGTTGCTGTCGAAGATATTGCTGCAGGGAAACTATGCAAAACAAGAAGTATTTTAAGAAGCCATCATACGGCTTATTACATTACAGCTTAAGAAAATGAAGACACAGAACCAAGGTTTTCAGAAGCTGGCCAGAATGCTAGACTGTGTTCTTAATTTCATGCAAAAGGCACACGTGGAAGGTTTTGCTCCATGTGGAACAAACCCAGTCTGCATTCAGCCCTCATACGTTACAGCTGTACTACGGGACTTGCAGGACTCCCAGCAACCGATACACTGTGCAGAAATCCCAGCCTCAGCTGCATGCAGAGCTCTAAAAACCTTCTGCATATCTCAGGGAGACACACGTTAAGGAATCCACACACTTCAGAAACCCGAAGCGCATTGATCTAGCTGTTTCTTTAAAATATCTTTTTTTTTTTTTCCAATCTACCCATCACAGCACACCGAGCACTTTGCCTAGGCCAAGCCTGCTAAGCACAAAGCGGCCGCTGTTTCACCAGCCCGGAGGGGTTACTACCAACTGCTGTCATTTTAAGCGCAGCCTTACGGGACCGCTGAAAGATTTACTGACGTCTCCAGGACTATCACATGCACTTTCCCCAAAGCCTCCCCGACAGCAGCTGCGGGGGAAAAATGGAAGCCGAGTTTCACGACTAAACCCCGTATTGGCGAGGACACACGGAAGAGCAGCAGGGGAACACCCCAAACCTTGACCTGTAAATTATAATTAAAACACCCCAAACCTTTGGTTCTCGCCATCCCGGCCCCTACTGTTGTCCCCGCTCCCACGGGGACACCGCCTCCGCCTCCCCCCTTCCCCGGGTCGACCTCCCCGCTGTGCGGAGCGGCCGCCGCCAGGCCCGGGCGGCAGCGCGGCCGCGTGACGCAGGCCGGGGAGGGGGCGGTGTGGTGGGGGGGAGAGTGTTCAGACCGAAAACAAAGATTTTTGTTGCGAGGGAAAGCAATAAAGAGCTTAAGGCAAAGTTTTTATTGGTTTGGAGTTGGTTTAAAACTGCTTCGTGGCCGTCGCATCGGGTCAGGCACTGGGCAAGGGGTGCGGGGGGTGAGGGAGGCTGCCACTGGCACCAGGAGGCCAATGTCCGCAGCCCTACAGCAGTAAATCCTCCTCCGTTAGCTTTTGCTTCAGCTTGCCGCCTCGCGGGCCCGCTAGGAAGACGGGCAGCTTCGCCTCGGAGAAGCTGTCACCATCACCGAGCCCCGACCCGGAGGCTGGCTCCGCTTCCATCACGGCGTCAGAGCCAGAGCCGGACTCCTCATCCGAGAGGGGAAATATGTCACCCAGCTCCTGGTATTGCTGCATCCTGAAATGCAGAGCAACATCTAGTTTATTCCAGATTTATTATATTAGTATCTCTTAACATACTGAACCCTCACGTTCCCATGGGTGACCCACACTGTGACAGGACTAGCGAGACGGGAATACTGGACATTTTTTAGGTGCTGGCATTAATGACAAACGTGTGGCAAAGGAACTTACAGGGACGGGTCTGCCATGGGAGGAAGGATCCTGTTGGCTCCACCGGTGGGCATGTAAAACAAGGGCCCCTCCTCTTCGATGCAGTTAGCGGACCAGGCGTCGGGTCGGCACCTCACTCTCTTGTACCTCGCCTTCTGCATCGGAGCACCTGATTGAATCAGCCATCTGTTATTCACCAGGACCAGGACGTTACTCACCAGGACCTATTAACTTTATGAGCACCTAGTAAAGCTTAAAGGAGTGGAAAAAAAATAATTTGTGTGGCCCTGATTGCTCAACTGCTGAAAACTAAACCCTGAAGACTTTTTTTAAATGGCTATTGATATCTTAAGGGACATCTTTGCTATCAGAGACATCGAGTGCAACTTGCACACAGCGCTGGGAAGTCCAAGGGAAATAGAAATGGAAACCCCGGGGGAAACCACTGCTTTGTACTGACGTCACAGCAGGGCTCACCCCCAGCTCGAGGCATGGCACAGGGGACCTGCAGGCACCCGCAGCTCTCCCCAAAGCTGGTGGAGGTATCTCAAAATCTCCTGGGGACAACACCGGCTCCTGCGCCCTCCCTTTCTCTGTTGGCTCCAGCGAGGCTCAGAGCCAACTCTGCTTTCACTTTGCCTCAGCCCAGCTCCTTCGAGCTCAGTGGGATGAGTTTTGGTGGGGAGGTCAGAAACTCAAGGCGTGCCAAGAGCCGCCTGCCATGGGAGCAGAGTTGGGGATTACGTGGGCTCTTGGAGCGCATCGCTGGTGGAGAGACTGCTCAGCCATCTCTCAGACACAACCCAGGGTTATGTAAATCCACGGTTTCAGTTCTGGTGCCCCCCAGGTGTCTGATTGGGGCTGGCGCCAAAAAGCGGGTCTTCAAAATTACCAAAAGGAGAAAATAACAACTGCATAGTAAAGTTAAAAATGGCAGCATTTTGTCCTTCCTCTTGGTCTCGTGTAATTAATTTGTTCTGAAGCCTCCTGGTGCATTCTCCCTCTGTTGGAACTTTATCTATTTTTTCTTGGTTTCTTGGGAATATCTTTCTGTAATTACACTTCTCTATTGCCCTGTGTATTTCCATAATGTACTAGATGACTTTCAGCTACCTCCTACACTCTTCTGTAAGAGAAAAAAGATCTCACAGGTATAATTTCCTGCTTATTTTACAGCATATTCCCTTTCCATACTTATTTTCTTCTCTTAGCATGTTATTAAGAAGGTTTTTAACAATAATAGTGGCAACAAAATAAACAACTGCAGCGGAATAATTTGCAGATAAACAGCATATGAAAAATGGGCCATAATCCCTCAAAGACCAGCCTCCGAGTGATAGATACATCATGAAAACCTATCACTATCACAGCCTTGGTTTGGGGACCGATTATACTCTACATGCTTGAAAAGCGCTTCTCTCTCGCAAGAAACAAATCCACAGGGCACATGTCATCATGAATCAACATTTCCTTTTAGTTGTTTTAGTGCTGCATGTTGCAATATCGTACCGAATAAACCGTTTAATTTCCTCATACTTACAACTAGTTTCCTTTCCTGCCCCCCAAGAAAGTAGATCATAGCAGTTATGGCATGGGAACTGTTACATACTTTGTAACTACATAACTGAATAACACTAGTGATCAGACCACCATGAAAGGTCTGGTTAAATATGTATTGAAATATAAGGATTGAAAATAGACACACATACAGCAACGTATTTTATGAAGTCTTTTTCTCGTAGAGGCTGGGCAAGGGACAGAGAAATGCTCCACTTGCAAAAAGCACCTTTTCTTACCATTCCCCCTCCAGAAAATGACATGTTAGCAAAGCAGGTCTTCTGGGTAGATCTCATTACCCCTAGAAGAAGGTCAGTTTGAAAAATTTGGAGGTTGCCTACTTGGCCTACACTGCATAGTCCAGAAAGAGGATTACCGAGAGAACAACCGCCCCGTTTTACCTTGTGCTGTGTATCCCACAAAGAGGATTAAACAAACAGCCAGGAAAATCCTCCTGTTACATCTGATAAGGAGCTGCATTTTGGCCGGTATCCCCCTGCTCGCCACCAGCCTTCACCACGGCTTCACACTTCAGAAATATGACGGTGCGAGGAGATCGACTTTTAGAAAAGGTTTCCAAAACCTCAAACCCAACCCATAACCTGCGTCACCGCTTCCTGATTGACGGGAGTCAGACATGTACAGAAAAGCCCAGCACTCTGGCCTCTCAGCCTTCATCACTAAAGAAAAAAAATAAAATCCCCACTGCCTTCGTCTCCAGCTTTGGCCAAGGAGAAAAGTAAACCCGGGACCAAGCAGCTCGACTGAAGGAGTGCACTGCCGGCAGTTTGTGGTCCAGGCGTGCATCCCGCCCTGCGCCTGCCCGGTGCTCAGAGGGCTCCAGGGCATTTGCTGTTTCCTCCAGAAAGAAAAAAACAGCACTTCTTGTCCCCTGACTTTCAGAAAACTGCATTTTTATGTTGGCACAAGCGGTGATTTTCCCTGCCTCAAGCCCATGTCTTGAGGGTTAGGAGCCAGCTGCTTGCAGTCAGTGCAGGTTTCATTGACTGGAAAATATTTTTTTTCCACAGAAGTAAATTATCTCTGGAATCTCATACCGGGTTTGGGGTATTTTTTGAAAGCAGGATCTTAGATATTTACTGCTGAAGTGAAAAAAATATATTAATTTAGAGAATATATTCTGGGAGAAATGTCAGCTCCTTTGAAAGGGCACAGAGGATTTGTTCAGCCAGATCATTGCCGTGTGGTGTGAGTGTCCCAGGGAGCATGGCAAAGAGTTTGGATGGCATGTGGCTCTGCCAGGAGCCTGTCTGGGAAACCATAAAAGCCCTTAAATAGATAGATGGAAGCTGCCTTTCAGCTAGCTCATACCTTTTGCTTGACTTTTAGCTGTGATTAAACCAGGCTTGAGTTCACTTAAGAATAAATTTCAAACAACAAGGTTATCTAAGCAGTGGGGTTTTTCTTAGTCATACCATTAGCTGCTGGATTAACTGGTGCACTGACGC